TCACAATTATTTGCATTGAAACTGTTGGAGTTTTTCATTTTAGAACTTTTTCGTTTTTTTTTTTCTTGAAAATCTCACCAAAAAATAAAACAGTTTTAGAAGCCAAAAATAACGGAAACAGTACAAAGAGTGGAGGAACATAAACGGATTGAGGAAGTTGAAAGACGTGTACAACGTAAAGAGAAGAAAGAAAAGAAGCATCGAAGCTCTCATCGAAGTTATCATCATCATCGTAGTGGTGGTAATCGTGATGCTTATAATGGATATAATGGATACAGTGATGAAGGTAAAGCACTTTTCAAATTTTCATTTGCATTTAATTTTTTTTTTCAATGTTAAATCTTGTTTTAAAATAAATGGTCAGAATTTGCAGAATTCAAAGTTATAAAATATGAATTGAAAATAAGTTGCCGTAGCTCGAAAAGTTAAATTTGGTCTAATGCAACAAGTAAGAATCCTTGCTGATTAGACGTATTTTAGAAGTCGAATTTTGGCCGCAATTGTTGATAGTAAACATTTTTTTTAGCACAATTTAAATATATCAAGTTGCAGTTTTTTATTTTTGAAATGAATGTCGCTTCATATATTCTTTTTGTATAATGTTAGCCATAAATCCTTATGTCGTATTGGCCATAAATTTCTGTATCGTATTGGTCATAAGTTCTTGTGCCATATTGGCTATGAGTTTTTCTGACTCATTGGCCATAATTCAAATTATTGCATTATTGTGCAGCATGTACTACACGATTTGTCCTATTTCACTCAGTAATCAGAACTTGTTCTACGTGTTTTATTTAGTAGCCTAGCCATTTGTGATAGGTACGATCAAAGAGCAACAGATCATTCATTCGTTCTCAAGATTGTAAAAATGAAAATCAAGTGGTTTTTAAATTTTAAAAATTGTAATGAAGAAGATTCTGAATGTGGACTGTCGACAAAAATAAACGAGAAATGTGATCGGAGTATTCGTAATCTTTGGCTAATTCCATTTTCAGGTTATCGTAGCAATTCTTTATCACGACAAAATGGCTATTTGCCTGGACATGAAAGCTATATGCGATCTGTAACGACACGTCGTGAAAAAGATGGGGTAATTTCCATTTTTTCTTCTTCTCATAAAATTAATTTTTTCACTGAATTATGCAGCAGTTAAGATGATTTCAGCGTTATTACGATGATGGACGTCTGATAACAAATGGAAATCTTTCCAGTGGACGTTACGGTTCATCATTATCTGATAGCTTAAGACGTGGAGAGTTACGTTATAATCCGAACGGTGATATTCGGGAAGTACATCATAGCTCGACGGGTCGTAACGGACGCATTCACAAAAGTCTTTCTACTCGTTAGTACTTTATATTTCGTTTAAATTATTATAATTCAAATTTTAATTATTATTCAAGATAGGCAAGCTCGTCAATATACATAAGATGTGCAGCTAAAAAGGATCA